CAAAGGTACAGTCACATTTATAAATAATAAAATGGAACCTTTTATGAGAAAACAAACAAATAAAAAAAACCCTATACAATCTATATCCAAATTTTTACAGTAGGTGGATGCTGTTATGTGAGATGATGGTTAAATATATAAAATGTGTAAATCTGCATGAATGGTAAACATATACATAAATAAAAATACTTAGAAATTTGACAGAACACAGCAATTTTATTAAACGTTGAAACCAAAAATATGGATAACCAAAAAGTATGCATAAAAGTTGTAAACTATGATAATTGAATCAAACTATAATTTATATGAAAATTATATATTTAAAATTCATACCAGAACTTCAAAGTGCAGAATATATGAATTTTTAATGTCTTTAAAGTTATGATTTAAAAACACACTAAAATTCTTAAAAAAAAAAAAAAAAAAAAAAAAAAAAAAAAACTAGCCTAAAATCTGAAAGCCACATAGTCTCTTAGATATACAAAGTGAAACATCAGTTTAAAAGATAAATTTTGGATCTTCAAAAGACATTAAGGAATACACTTAAATTGAAATGAATATTTTTTTTTTATGTTATTTTTCCATTTTGCACTTTCCCATGATCGTTCAATATTTCGTATGCTTGCGTCAGTATCTTGGATCTATAATATTTATTTATTGTTAACTCTAAAGTACTTATACATTGACTCGTTAATCATTACATTAATCAGCTCTTTATTAAGCAAGATTCTAAGAATGTCAACAGATTTAGGAAAAGAAAGCATTCACATATCCATCCACAGATACCACCAAATACGCATTATTGTAGATGTTCAACATTGATTCTCTGTCTTGTGAACTTCAATAATATATATTTACCACTAGAACATCTTGCGATGATATAACTACAGCTTTGAAATGAGCTCTAACCCATTTTCATAGGAATGTCTTGAAAAATGCTTTCGAGTTTGATTTCTTGATACACTTAATAAAATTGGCAACACAAGCATTTAGTTTTACGCAGATCTTTGTCAAAAGCAAAATAATACTAAATATTTCGTCTGATCTTTAGAATATGGTAACTGGTAGTTTGGCGACATTTTGGAGGCGATAAAGGTTACTACATGGGACTTTGGTAATAATGTGAACAGTACTCAGTTCTGATTACGCATTATTTTGTGTGAGGGAAATGAGAGATCAAGGGATATGTCATGTGATATTAATGGACGAATTACGGTTCTTTAATCGGAAAAGGGGGGAAATCGGGAAAATTGGGAAATTTTGTATTTGGCTTTATTCTGTGTTGTGTGAAACAGTGTTCGTTAATTTTTGGATCCCATGGCCCTAACTAAAGTGAATTCGAAATGGGTATTTAGTGGGATTGAAAGGGGTAGTAATAAGTGTTTCTTTAAGGTTGTGCGAGATAGAAGTAAAGATGTTTTATTAAGTTATTTATTTTACCTGGTACCTTGCTGTGAACTATACGTATGATTTTAAAGATCCTGAAACAGAAATAAGAAAAGTTTATTGGACACGTAATCGAGATTCTGAAGAAGATTAGGTAAGTTAGTATTTTTAATTATTTGAGGATATTATATTTTTATGCATTGTTCTAAATGTAAGGTGGAAGTAAAGTAATTTGCGTAAACGTGCATGGAAATAATTTAAATATTTGACACTAAGTATTTGTAACCATTTGTAATGTTTGCGGTATGAATTAGTTAGTGACGTTTGTAATATAATAGATAATGTAGAGGTAAAAGTTTTTGGATATTTTATTTATTTTATACGGGGAAATGTTCATATTTGGAAAGGGTATATACTTTTTCGCGATCAGGTAATTTCATATATGTTCTTTTTACCGGGTTTAAAGATTAAAAAAATTGTCATGTATTTTTTGTGAAATTTTTTCTAATTTATTATGAGAAAAAAGCAGTGTACTGGATATAGTGAACAGTGTGCGAAATGCCATTTTTGTGCAATTCTGGGATGTTTTTTTAAGTAAAATAAGTCGATGTGTACATGGTTTATGTGTATGTGTTATTTTTAAAAAACGCGTAAGGAGTATGGTATTGTGCACTTTTCCCAATTTGCAAGTGAATATTTGTCATGATGAAGCAGTTTTGTTAGATAAAATTTCTAGCATAAGTGTAATTCGGCTAGTAGTAGATTGTTGGAAGAAGTGTTTCAGTAGATAAAAAGAAAAAGAAACATGTCTTTACTTCGTGAAGACAAAATGGCGGCGGGAAAAAAAAATAGAGGGTTGCTGTAGGAGAGTTGGTCGCCAAATTTTCGCCAAGTTACCATAATGTAAAGATCAACCAATATTTCACCCAACTCATTCCCATACCTGCCAACCTTGAAATCTGAAAAACTGGGAGATTTCTGCAAGAAATCAAGAGGTTTCCATGTTGTATGATGATGCCATTTCAAAGAAGCTCCAAACTAATAGCTTTTATTTATCAAAGTATTTTTAAATAGGATGAAAATTTAATCAATAATTAGTGTACATAATATTTATCTACAAATGTCTGTAGTACTTTATGATGATTTAGATAAAATCAAATTTAATAAGGGAAATTGCCAATAAAGTGTAATAAGAAAAAAGTACAGTTCAGAAATACAGAAATAAAATTTAACAAGAAAAAATGCCACTAGAGGTGGAGGAATAGAATTTGCACAATTTAAGTTTCCTTCATTCAATAAATTTCCTTTTTTGTTGGAAAGTACTTTCCTTAACAGAGACTAAAAATTAAAAATTGGAAGATTTGACGATCTACCAAAAGACCAGGGGATGTGAAGAAAAACCAGAAAAGTTGGAAATTATACCTTTCCTACTTAAAATGCATAAGGCCTATTTCTGTACTCACTCCTTCCAGTTAAGACATACTGGTAGGGGTAGTTTTCTTGACAGACAAAATATATGGACCTCTTCTCTCCATCTGTTGATGCTTATCTAATGAATCTGTGTAAACTTCTCATATATAATAGTTCAGATTTACTAATGCTGAATTTGACATTACACGCTGTTTCGCATACCTCTTAATGAGAATAATTTTTAACTCTAGAACCTATTCTTTCCTCTACTGACTTCTACATTAGGATGTATTTACCAGTCCATCGTAATGGTGCCCAAGAGCCTGCAACCACACAGCCAGCCAAATGGGCAAAAAGAGAATGTCATTAGAGTGACAAAGTCAAAGAATAACAATGTACAGGATGAGATCTTGAGATTGCTAGTGCTGCCCTCTATTGGTGTGAAAATGAATTTTGCTGAATTTTCACTTGAGGATGAAGTTCAATGTCAATTTTTTTTTTTAAACAATAAAACATAGATTTAATTCAAAAATATTAACAGAATAATAGCTAAAACTGAAACTTCTAGGGATCAAGAAGAATTCAGAATTCCTGATCTTAACAGTTTCTAGAGCAGTGTTCTTCTACTGTACTGTTAAGTTCACATGAAGATCTCACTTACATGATAGTATGATAAATCCTGAACAAATTAAATCTAAAATAAACTAATTCTTGAATAAAATGAAAAATATACATAAAAATTACATCATGGTGAATAGTTCTCTGCCTTTTGACTGTTCGATAATAGTCAATAATCGTGTCGTTAATTTGCGCAATTGCAATAAGTTATACATTTTGCTGAAAAAGGTTGCACACTGTAGTGAGAATATGATCTAGAAGAGTTTGGACTTTGAATTCAGTGTGTATCTGGGAATTTCTCATGGACCACGGAATGTTAACTATAATACAGAGGATTTTATTTTGGAACTTCTAATTTTTCACAAAATGCTTTCCCTGCAGTTGTCCAGGCAGGAATCCATATAAATGTGTTCTGCAAATCATCCTAAGGTACAGCATTTGCTTAATTCAGATGTAGCATGGATTTTCTTCTCATGAGATAATAAACGGATATGTAACTCTAGAAATTTCCAATTGTGTTCCATTACAAACACCCCCATCCCCCAACTGAAACTAGATTATGTTGCACTGCCACCTAATACCATAATTAAATAAAACTTCATCCGGTAATTCTTTTCAAAGTCGCTAGCAAAATGTCACTTTCATGGGGAGAAAAACAAAACATTTTCTTTCTCTCGACGCAAGAAAAATCTATATAATTTCAATGAACAACTTATGGGGAAAGTGCAGAATAACCCACTGCTTGGCGCGTTTTTAAGAATTGCACATACTCGGTATCCATATACACATCGACCTATTTTCACTTAAAAAAAATCCCAGAATTGCACAAAAATGGCATTGCGCACTCTCTTGACTTTATCCATATATACATCTATTTTCACTTAAAAAGTCAAAGAAAATTGACAACAATCCAATTCTTCTTACTTTTGTAAAAAGCGTCAAACAAATGCCAATCAAATAATTGGGCGATTCTGCACTTTAGCCCAATTTAATTTTGGAAAAGAAAATACTTTAAAATTTATATTTTGCACATCAAGCACTTGTGCTAGAAAGTGTACCCTATACAAGGATTAAAACAAAAAATCAAGTCCCACAACCAGAGCCGGATTTAGACTTGATAAGGCCCTAAGCTACTTGAGATATGGGGCCCTTTATAAGTCTGTTTCTGTTATACTGTATTTTAATTTTGGGGGAGCCCTCAAGAAAGTTGGGGGTCCTAAGCTATAGCTCGTGCAGCTTATACGTAAATCCTGCACTGGCGACACCATATAGAGATAAAATATCCCTTCTCTTTCTCCTTATTACAGCTGATATCTGAATTAGCAACCTAAACATTCTTTCCCATTGTTTGGCGTGTATCGCTCAAGTTAGCGAACAAGATTTCATGAAGCTCGCCAAATGCTGGTTATCTGAGTACCTTCCTTTATAACGAACCGTTTTCATAGTCACTTTTTACGATTTTTTTTGCGCCTGTTAACTCAAATGTATCTATGTTGTCTTTTTAATATAATTTCTTTTATAAATATTTAAAAGAAAACTTATCACGTATTGTTAAATGAAGAAGAAGAAAAACAGCAACAATATACCTTTAAACGAATCTGACACTCAGACCAACAGTTTTTGGTCAAGAATCATAGCGCCGAAATTCTGGGTTTTGCACCCCCAATAATCTTTCAACCAAGTGAATATTCCAGAGAAGTCAAGAATGCTTTTACAAAGATAATACAGATTTCTGATGCAAACATAATTATTTATTATTATTATTAATTTAGATAATATTAGTTGAAGTGATCTTGTTATTTAATTGATCTTTATCAACGTCTAAAAAGGAAGATTGAATGAATAATTCCTTTATATTTTGCAATATGGTGCCATTTTGCATTTATTCTGAAAGTACTGTATTATATTGAGTAAATATAGTATCTACATGATTAATATTTATCATGAGTATAAATTTTTGCCTCATGCTTTTGTTTCTTAGCCGTTTATTATTTATAGTGCTTAGAAATTTGGCAATGGCTTTCTAATCTTCAAAACCCGCGGTCGATCTGTTTTTGTAGAATGTGCGTTAAGTGATAGTAGTGCGTAGTTTCGTTACAAAACTAGCTTTAGTTTATGTTCTGTGGTATGATTTTCTATAGTCATAAATTATCATTCTCAATAGGGTTGATTGATTTTTGTTTTGTCTTAATCTAATATCGGTTTCTGCTTTTTATACAATCTTTACTAATTTGTATCTCTGCTCTTCTAACTCAGTTTCTACTGTTGTGAGAATTCGCCCAAAGACAAGGTCTCCGAAGGCTAAAATTGCATTAATGACTGGCCCATAATCTTCAGTCTATCCAATATATATATATATATAAAATTAAACATAAAGCATCCAAAATTAAATTGGAATCAAGACAAGGCCATTCCCTATTAATATTAATAATTGAAATCGTGGAAAAGGTCTCAATGTAAATAAACATAATAAAAATTCATATAGGAGTTCATCGGTAGAATAAACTCTAAAAGCAAAAAGAAAATTAGTAATAGAAATAAAAACTACAAATTAATCTCCTTTTCAGCTGTCGTGCAGGATAGGTTAAATTTTTTTGCTTTTAGCATATTATTTTGTTTTACTATATATATGTGTGTATGTGTGTGAAAATTAGTTAAATTTTGATGGATTGAAATCAGTTACAATTCTTTATGTACTATTTTTATTACAATTATTTTACAGGTCCACTTCAAATTGAGTACAATGTTTTTCCGGGACAAAGCTAGACCTTTTAAAGAATTGAACGAGGATGCTTCTGAATTTATAGCTTTATTCGAAGAAGATATTAACAAGTGCTCCGAAATTTTAGATCATATGCTTTCAGATCTATTTCTTGAATCACGACGTGACCATGCATCAGATAAAGAATTTTTAGTGACATTTTCGAAAAAGAAGTATGAAATATTTAAGAATACTTCATCTCTTTTAAATGAGTTAGAAGAAAAATGGCTCAAACAAATTTCTCAGCTGAAGAAAAAATTTGTAGAAAATACTGAAATATATTTAGCTGGATTCAAAGCTTCAATAGAAGACTCATCTGATAGTATCGAACGTAAGTATTTTTGAGTTTTTCCAGTATAAAGAAGCCATAAATAATGTTTAAAACACGGAATTTATGTGCAATAAAACACATTAATTAAATTATTTTTTTAATAAAATGACAATAAAGTATTGGTTACCATAAATAACTTATCCAGTAATGGGTTTACCATAAGTCGTATCGCTCGCCAAAATCCTTGCAACCGTCTATTAAAGTAGCACTAGTTTTTGTTTCTTTATATTCTTTTATTATTGCTGAAAGGCATGTTTCGCATATTGGCAATTTTTTCCAAAACCTTGGATGGTGCCTAAAGCGTGCCATATCCACAAGTATGAGAATTGTATTATTCCAGAGCAAAAGATGCATGATTTCCCTATCAGCTCCCCACTGAAAGGAAAAGCGGGCTGAAGTGGCATCTGTTAACAAATTTCTTTCTTTTTCACTTAACTAAGTTTTACTGACCTTTACAGTTTTACTTACAAATGCATAATATTTTTGGATGACCAAGCTAATGCTAGGAATATGCCATTTCTTTTTAAATGTAATGCTTTATATTTCAGAATTATATAAGTAGAGAACTAAGTTAAAGTTATCTATAAGTGACAAATTTGGTGACTTTATTCAAAAAGATTGCTGTTGATAGCAGTTGGTAGTTGTGGACTGCATATTAATTCATAAAAGTCAAGTTGAGAAACTTATCAACATTTATTTTCTTTCGAGCACCAAGTCAAAGGAGTGCGCAATGCCATTTTTGTGCAATTTGGGGTTTTTTTTAAAGTGAAAATAAGTCAATGTGTGCATGGATACTGAGTTTGTGCAATTGTTTGTCTTGTTATTTTGGCTTTGTGTAGCAGCGATTTTTGCGCCAAAAATCGCCGCTTTGCAAGCCAAAATGTCGAGTCAAAGAATTGCACAATATCGGTATCCATGTACCGCCAAAAATTGCCAAGGGGTACCCTAAACTATACTTTTACCAATCTGAGTACTGATTGTAAGAAATTCTTCCATAGTAACCTTAGTACATCCCATATCATCTGGTTTTCTAATCAATTTCTGTAAACGCTTTAACTCTGTATGAGCCCCCTTAAAAATTGTGGCATTATCTGTAATGATGGAAGAGATTTCCCTCTTCTCGCACAAAATCGCTTAAGAGCTGCTATAAAGGCTTCAGACGTAGAGTGTGAAGCCTTTATAGCAACTACTCCAAATGGATTGCCTTTATGGACAAACATATAAATACAGCATTATAGATTTTAGGAAAAATGCCCTTACGTTGACTCTTGAATTGTACGTGAAATGGTCCACAAAAGTCAACGCCACAATTAAGAAAGAGTGAAGTCCGAGTTACACGCTCTGTGGGAATATTACTCATGACCTGACTCGCTGCAATTGGTTTGTTTTTAAAACACAAGCATGAACTATCTTACGAGCCAAGCTTTTGCCGTGAATGTGCCAATATTTCAAACGCACCTGATGAAGTAAACCCTGCGCTCCAATATGTAGGTACTTCTTATGAAAATATTCAAAAATCAATACAGTAACTCTATGAGTAGTAGGCAAAATTAACTGGTGTTTACAAACAATAAGTTTGAGTTTTTTAATCTTCCTCCAACTCTTAAAAGAGAATTCTCATCTAGAAAAGGGTCAAGACCTTTTAACTTACTTTGTGCAGGAATAGATTTATCTCGTTGAAGAGCTGTAATTTCCAAATTAAAGGCAGTTAATTGGGCATGCCGTATAAGAACTCCTCAGCTTTTTTCATCTCATCTGAGTTAAATATCCCTGCATCTTATCCTTCGATTTACAATTTTAAGATAAACCTGAAAATAAAACTGAGAATTCTGATTAGCTTATGAAAATTATTGGAAAGTTTTAGAAAGGAGTCTATAAAATGTTCGTTCATTGTCAAAGTCAGAACTGGGTTCGATGATTGTTTCAGTTCTTTTTCATACTCTTCATCCGAAGAATAAGAAATGCATTCAGGACCTGACCACCACGCAGGCGTGTTTATCCATGCTAGAACAATAGTAGAATACCACAAATAAACATCATCGATACTTAGCTACAGGGCTGTGATTATTACCTTTGACACAAGCCTACACAGAAGTAATGCTCCACACAATTCAAGACGTGGAATTGTAACAGGCTTTATAGGAGAAACTCTGGATTTGCTACAAAGGAGATTGGAATAATTCATTCCATCAGTGGCAATACAACGGATGTAAATAGCCGCACCATAAGCCTTTTCCGAAGCGTCCGAGAACCCATGGATCTCAGTTCTAACGGAATGTTTAGTTAAAACATATCTTGGGAATATTCAATTGATCGATTAACTGAAGCTGGGAACGGAATTTTCCGTTTCTACAACTCCTTGGGAGGTAATTCCTCGTTCCAGTCCAGTTTCAGCAACCATAGTCTCTGCATGAATATTTTTGCCCTCGTTACTACAGGTCTGATGAGACCCAAGGGATCAAAAAGCTTAGCTATTTCAGATAACACCTGACGTTTAGTAAAACTATTTTGATTGTTCACAGCTGTTTTGAAAATCAAGTGATCATCCTTCGGTTTCCAGAGCATTCCTAGCGTCTTCACTACACTTTCTTGAGATTCAAAGGAATATTCCTTTGTTGAAATATCATGCAGTAAGTCAGGATGATTGGACACCCATTTATGTAGCTCCATACCTCTACGACGAAGCATTTGTACTAATTCAGACTGAAGCTCCTTTGCTTCTTCTAAAGTATTTCCTCCTGTCAGGATATCATCCATATAAAAATTCGTAGATGTGACACCAGCCGCCCTGGGGAAATGGTCCTGTTCGTCAGCTGCCAATGCCTTTAAGGTTCTCATGGCTAAAAATGGCGCGCTGGTAGTTCTGTATGTAACCGTACGCAACCTATACACTTGAACAGGGGCATCGCGGCTTGGCTTCCAAACAGTTCGCTGTAAATTTCTTTGCGATAGATGTTTGAGTATTTGTCGATATATCTGCTTAATATCAGCACTAAAGGCAAAGCGATGTTTTCTAAACCTGGAAACTATAGAAAAAAGATCTTCTTGAATTGTGCCTCCGTTCAACAGAATCGAATTTAGCGGATAGCCGCTGGATGATTTACACGATGCATCGAAAACAACTCTTAATCGAGTTGAAGTTTTCTTTGGGTGATATACTATGTGATGGGGAATATAGTAACAAGTGTCACAGTTATCCACAGGCATAACAGGTTCCATGTGGTTTAAGCTTAAATATTTGTTCATAAATTCCGTATACAAATTAGCCATAGTCTTATTAGCATCAAGATGATTCCAAATTGTATTCAGTCTCTTAATAGCAATTTCCTTTAGATGAACCCAGCATAGAAGTAGCATCATCCTTCATAGGTAATTTTACTATGTATCTACCTGTTTCATCATATCACGCGAGTATGTTTCATTAAAATGCCTTTCGCAAAATATTTCCTTCTTCATTCTTTACGAACTTCCGTTACCATCTCTCTGGGGAAGGATTCTAATTCGAAAAACTTCTTAATTGCATTATCGAGACTTAATTTCTTTTATCAAATAACAGTAGGTAGAACCCCTGTCATTAAATAAC